CTTGTGGTGAACTGCTTTTTTTTTTTTGCTTTCCTCTTAGTTTAGCGCGTTGACAAAAGGGGCGATTAAACCCAGCGTTTATATGGTTTTTTTTTCTCTCTCTCTCTCTCTCTCTCTCTCTCTCTCTCTCTTTCTCTCGAGCCTAATCTTGTGCTTTGTGACTACAACGCAGCAGCATAAAGGATCGCTTAATAGTTTATGGAGAATAATAATAACGATGATTTAATTAATCCGTGTATTTTGTACGGCACCTTTCATGTCTCTATAAGCGCCTTCACAGGATCTTCTGTAGAGTGTAGCGACTGTATTAATGCAAACGTGGCAGCCAATTTGTTGTTTGCAAACTGATAGGCCCCTTTTCTCCGATTGATTGATTGATTGATTGATTGATTGATTGATTCATACACTGGATATTTATTCTTGTCGCCTTCATTCGTTTTATAGTTCGATAAAAGCCGGTTGCTTGCAGGGGAAGGGCATTCGAGGCGAAAGAGTAGGGAGTCGGGAGCGCGATGAATTGGGAGTGCAATGGACGGAGGGGTAAACACAAACAAAACGGCTTTTGTTTCGTACATTTCTATGGTGCTTTGTCGCGTTTTTTTTTTTCTCTCACGCGCGGGCTCTCTCTCCCCGACCCCCACTCCCGCCCCCAACCCCACCCCACCCCTGTTTCAAGGCGAACAATGGGGGTAAAGTTTAGCATCTTTCACTGACGGCAACTTGAGCACAGAAGGAGGCCATTCAGCCCATCATGTCTGTGCCGCCTCTTTGAAAGAGCTACCGACTCGTACCACTCTTTCCCCCCCCCCACCCCCCCCACACACGCTCTTACCTCACCCATAGCCCTGCACGTTTATCCAGCTCAGGGGCTCAGATCGCTCGCCTCGCAAGCGAGAGGACCCGGGTTCGAAACCTTAGGCTTATACTTCCATTTGCTCTCAAAGGAGTATCCAACAAAATCTCTTCCTTCCTCATCTCCAGGTCCCTTCCTCTTCGACCGTGCCTAAGGTCTCCCCCCCCCCCCCCCCCCACCCTCTCCTCCCCAACCCGGCTCAGCGTCATTCTCCGCCACTGTCAAGTGCTCTGGGGCACTACTTTGCATGAGGGGAGCGCTGCGTAAATGCAAGTTCTAGTTTTAGTGAAATGTCTTCTCCTGGACACAGTCGAATACTAATAATAATCCCTTGCGTTCGATTATTATGTCTTCGAGGCGTCTCAAAGTGCTTCACGGGATATTTTTGAGAGCAAATAAATCACTTCATCGGATGTGGGGCTACTGTTTGCAGTGTTGCTCACCAGCCCTCCTACTCCAGAGGTAGGAGTAACCGTTTCTGAAGCCGATGAGAAACGGAACCAGAGGCATTTGTGTCTCCACGTTTAAAAATAAGCTTCAGAAATCCGTTGCTAAGCGCCAGTCCTCTTAGAGCATAAGAACATAAGAAATGCTAGAAAGTATTAGGCGATTTAAAAGCGATTTAAAAGCGCCTTATCACGTCTTTAAGACGTCTCAAAGCCCTTCACAGAATATTCTGTAAAGTATATTTGTGTATTTTGTGGGCAAGACGTGTCCGCCAATGGCACACAGCAACGTCCCACAAACAGTCGTGGGTTGAGTGACCAACTTATTGTGTTTACTGTTATTATTTTTTGAAGGGATTATGATCCCCGGCAAAGCGTTCCACCAATCGACTAACAACCGGGTTCCTATTTACTGCGAGGTAAACACAGGCGCGTGCGTGTGTGTGTGTGTGTGTGTGTGTGTGTGGAGTAAGGAAATCTGGCCAAAGTTTCTCCCTGTCTGGGAACCGAGCCCAGGTCACCTCGCTTGCAAAGCGAGCGCTCTGAGCTGCAGGACTCCACTAATTAAGCCTTTGCACACAGTTAGTTAATCTCTGAAGTGACTGTGGACATTGGAGTGTGGGCACATCTCTCACTGCACTGCACTGCACAGGAAATTGTGTAAATAGTCCCTGGTGTATGTTGACACTCCGTTCAAGTGGCCACGTATCCGAAAGGAGCAACGCGCATTTTACAGTGCCTTCAGGAGGAATCACTGTTAGTGTCAGGGCTATTTCCGTAGGCAAACATGGCAGACAATTCGCGCCTATAGCAAGTTCCCTCAAACAGCCATGCACCATAACTGGAGCTCTCGACTGTAATCCCATTGCCCTCTGCTCTTTTCCTTTGCTTTTTGTTCCACCAAGTATTCAACCAGTGGAGTCCTGTGGCTCAGTGGTTAGAGCGCTCGCCTCGCAAGCGAGAGGACCTGGGTCTGAAACGTTGGGCAAGTTTCCTTCTGCACAGACGCCTCTGGTTACCCAGCAGTAAGTAGGAACCCGGATGTTAGTCGACTGGTGGATCGCTTTTCCGGCGGTGATAAATAATTTGGTCACTCGCTGTTCGTGGGGACGCTGCCGTGCGCAAATGGCCGCCGCGCTTCGCCCACAAAATATACAGTGAATTCACTTTACAGCGTATCCTGTGAAGCGCTTTGAGACGTCTCGAAGACGTCATAAGGCGCCGCATCAAATGCGAGGATTATCATTATTATTTGTTGTTTTAAATGCTGTTACGGATTCGGCTTGGACTTGCCCTTTGTGTTGGCGAGCCGATAAACGTGGAGGATTATTGGCCAGAACTTCTATATGGCGATTGAGATCTTTAACATCCCCCTGAATGTGCAGGAGGGAACACTGACAATGGAGAAGGTTTGGGTGTACACTGTTTTGGGCAGTAATACCCCCCACCCCCCCCGCCCCAACAACGTCTTTTTTTGTCTATTTATGTGTGAGTTTCCTTTCGGTTGGTAACACTTTACACTCTTGCCTCAGGGTCAGAAGGTGTGACGTTCACTTCACAATCTAGGTTAACAATCCAGGGTGAGGAAGGGGTATTGTTTTGTTATTGAAAGGGGCCGTTCTTCGGATGAAACATCAAACTGTCTCACCTGACTGTTTTTATGGCTCAATAAATCCCGTGTGGCTCACCTGGTGATCTGGTGTTTGAAGGCTGTTGAGTACCAACCAATTACATTCACATTTTACACAGCGCCTTTCACGTCAGTAGGATATCCCAAGGTGCTGGATGGAAGGACGGCCAAGGATTCGGACCCCGAGTTGGGGGTTGGGACAGGAGATGCGGAAGGCAGGGAGGGTGGGGGTGGGAGGGTGACCGAAGGCGCGATCGAAGAGTAAATAGGTCAATCTTCCTGTCTCTCAGAACAGCCTTCCTTACCTCTTCAACCTGCTCACACCCCATTCCTCTGCCCTCCTCCTTTGCTCACCTAGCTCAGGCCTTCTGTGTGTCGTTGTTGTCTCCCCCCCCCCCCCCCGTCTTCAGGTCGCATCAGGAGACCTTCCTCTTCGACAGCACCTACGGTGACTTCTCGTCTCTCTCTCTCTCTCTCTGTGACTCCGTCACTGTTCAGCGCTAGAAGAAGTGCTGTATCAAGCGAGTTTTTCTTGTACGTTAGCTTTCAAGGGGGAATTGGAGAGGGACTTGGAAAAGGAACAATGTGTAGGGCCGTGGGACTGATTGGGTGGCTCTTTCCAAAGAGCTGGCACAGGCACGATGGCCGAATGGCCTCCTCCTGTGCTGTAATATTGTAGGATTCTACGATTGTACGTGAAGCACTTTTGAGATATCTGATGTATACGTCAAGCAAAGTGAATTGTAATGTAAGTGTGAAACCAGAGAAATGATGCTTTAATTTTTTTTACATAACCGAGCTGTCTCTCTCTCTCTCTCTCTCTCTCTCTCGCTCTGTTTTTTTTTGCCCTCGCAGAAATCCTAAGTGGAGTAATCAAGAATTTGAAGAAAGATGGAGAATGGAAGGTAGGTTAGGCGAGAGCTGCCTGGCGACGGATATAAATCCCGTAGCGTAGTGATCAGAGCGCTCGCCTCGCAAGCGAGAGGACCCGGGTTCGATTCCCGGGCAGGTCGGGGTGAAACCTTAGGCAAGTTTCTTTACTCCACACGCACACACACACACACACACGCGCGCGCGCACGCACTCACACGCACACACGCGCCTCTGTTTACCCAGCAGTAAGTAGGAACCCGCTTGTTAGTCGATTGGCGGAGCGCTTTCCATGAACAATAATCCCTATAAATAAATAATACATCGGTCACTTCAATCCATGACCGTTTGTGGGGACGCTGCTGGGCGCAATCGGCTGTCGCGGTTCGCCCACACAACATACGGTCAATTCACTTTACGGTCTTATCCTGTGAAGCGCTTTGAGACGTCTCAACGATGTGATCAGGTGCCAAATCAAATGCAAGGATTATTATTATTATTATTACTACTACTACTACACTGAAGGTTCAATCTCGACTCCGAGCTCGGTTAGGGTGCTGTTAAAACTCAGCTGTCTCTCATTCTCCGCCAGGTTCTGCTCGTGGATCATCTCAGTATGAAGATCTTGTCCTCCTGCTGTAAGATGTCCGACATCATGGCGGAAGGCATCACCAGTAAGTGGGTCTGAGACGTGCTTGGGTTTCACTCCCTGGGTAAAGGGCTAGAACGCCAACTCTCTATCTCTCCGTCTGCGCGTGCATGCACATATATATGTGTGCGCGCGTGTGTGTGTGCGCGTGTGCTTCTCTCTCCCTGGTGTACTGCCTCTCCCCACTACCTCTGCGACCTCCTAACCCACTACCGAGCTGTCCGCTCTCTCCGCTCAGCGGGCTCCGGCCTGCTATACGTCTCCCGCCTTGCCCACCCCACCATTGGCGGTCGGGCCTTCGCCCTCTCTGCCCCCATCCTCTGGAACTCTATCCCACAGTCCCTCCGCCTCGCCCCCTCCCTCCCTCGCCTCCTTCAAGACTCGTCTCAAGACCACACCTTCGGTCACCCTCCTACTCCCCGCCCTCCGCACCCTCCTGACTCCAACCACCAGCTCGAATCCAAATCCCTGGCACTCCATCCAGCGCCTTGGGACGTCCTCCTGACGTGAAAAGCGCTGTGTAAATGTCATGTGTTGTTGTTGTGTGGTGTATGTTTCTCTCTCTCTGAAGGGGGCTGATGCAACACAACACCAAATTCTATTTATATTCAGCAACTTTCACGTCAAAAGGACGCCTCAAGGGGTTGGACGCTCGAAAGGTTTGCACCCAAGCGTAGTGGGGGCAGAGGGTGGTAGGGGGGGGGTTGGGTTGGCTGGGGATCACGCCTTGCCCCAAGGCCCCTTCGAGGGTTCAAAGGGTTTGGAAGGTTGCAAATGACTGTCATGTTCTTCAAGGGCAGTTTGAGCAGAGTGCTAAATGATTGCAACAGCTTCACACTACCGCCTTGCGCAGTGTTTTTCTGCTTCGATCGCTGATTGAGATCTGAGTTTCGCTGTGGCCAAAAATGCCCGGCATTACCCAGAAACTCGGAAGAGCAATCAGCTAAGAGGAATTGTGTTAGCAGTTTGCGCCTCAGGCGAAAACCACATACCACTGCACCTGTTTGAATGATGTGCCTTTCAAACAGGTGCCGTGGTATGCGGATTCCCTGTAGCTCAGTGGTTAGAGCTCTCGCCTCGCAAGCAAGAGGACCCGGGTTCGATTCCCAGGCGGGTCAGGGCGAGACCTTAGGCGAGTTTTCTTACTCCACACGCGCCTCTGTTTACCCAGTATCAAGCAGCAACCCGGTTGTTAGTGGATTGGCGGATTATTTTTACGGGGTGGGAGGGGAGGTAATCATCCCTTTTTTAAAAAAAAATTGGTCATTCAATCCGCGACCATTTGCGGGGACGCTGCTGTGCGCAAGTGGCCTCCGCGTTTCGCCCGCAAAGTGCGCAGTGGTACCATTTTAGCAGTGTACAACACCTCGCATTTCCACAGCGCCTTGCAGAGCCGCAAGGTGGCAGAGCCCTGACTCTGTATATTCTGCAAAGTGCTTTGAGGCGTCTCAACAGCGAGCTAACAACAACGATTTACGTTTTACATAGCGCCCTGCACGCAGGATAGCGTCCCGGAGTGCGCGATAAGGCGCTGTATTAAAATGCAAAGACTTGTTATTATTATTATTATGTTATAACGTATTCTTTTTCTTCTAGTTGTTGAAGATATCAACAAGCGCCGGGAGCCAATTCCTAGCTTGGAGGCCATTTATTTGATTACACCGTCGGAAAAGGCACGTATAAAGCCGAGTGTTCAATGAGGCCTGCGATTGATGGGGGGGGGGGGGTGGTGGAGGAGGTGTGATGGGGGGGGTGTAAGCAGGTCGGAGAGGTAGGGAGGTGCGAGGGCATGAAGTGGTTTGAAAACGAGTGAGAGGATCATCCTGTTGTGTTAATAACAATAACCCTGGCGTTTGATACGGCGCCTTATCACGTCTTCGAGACGTCTCAAAGCGCTTCACAGGACATACTGTAAAGTGCAGTGACCGCACATTCCGTGGGCGCAAACGCGGCAGCCAGTTGGGCCCAGCAGCGTCCCGCAAACGCTGGTGGAATGCGTGCCCAATTTATAGTGTTGCGCTTGATGGGCAGAGCACGCCCAGGTCTGAAAGGGATTCATGGTTGAAGGATAAAGAACCACAGTGTGTGTGTGTGTGTGTGTGTGTTGGACGTCTGAATCCCAGGGGAATGTGCCCCCTGGAATGTGCCCAGGCAGGGTTTAGAGTCTGCACGGTGTCTGTACGCCTTTCCTCTTTGCTTTGAGATGGTTTTTCTGGTCTCGTGAGTTTTAGCTGTGAATAATCAGTACCCTTAGAACTTTTAACACACACTCTCTCACACACACACACACACACACACACACTCCTACACTCTCTTCACTCTTCCCTGCGGCATTCCAAGACTACATTCCGCTGGCGTGCACACATGGAGTCAGGTAGCGTAGTTGTTAAGACCCCTCGCCTCACAAGCGAGAGAGAGAGAGAGAGAGAGAGCGAGAGAGAGACCCAGGTTTGATTCCCGGGCGGGTCAGGTCGGGGCGAAACCTTAGTGACACACACACACACGCACGCGCGCACGGACGCTCCTCCGTTGACCTAGCGGTAAGTAGGAACCCGGTTGTCGGTCGATTGGTGGATCGCTTTTCCGGGGGTAATAATCCCTTGAAAAAATATATACATATAAGAATTTTGTCACTCAATCCACGACTGTTTGTAGCTGCCGTGCGTCGCCCACAAAATACACAGTCACTACATTTTACAGCATATTCTGTGAAGCGCTTTGAGACGTCTCGAAGACGTGATAAGGCGCTGTATCAAACCCAGGGAGCGCCGTTGTTTAATTTTTTTTCTTTCCCCCTCTCTCCCCCACCCCCCCCCTCCCCACGCACACACAGTCCGTGAGAGCGCTGATGGCTGATTTCAAAGACACTCCAACATTCATGTACAAAGCAGCCCACGTTTTCTTCACTGATAGTAAGTGCTAATATCTGTGGTTCGTGACAACAGCCACCAAAACGTGTGGGTAGCTTCACCTCCGGTTGCGATGGTGCGGGTGGGGGGTGGAGGGAAGGGCGAGTGTGGAGGGGTGGGGGTGGGTGGAAGGAAGGAAGGATGGAGAGTTCGAGCAAATGCAATGTAATCATCTCCGCTTAAAAGCGAGAATGAACGTCATTGCCACAATGAGTGGGTTTGATGCAAAGTGTGTATAATCTGCCACCCACTGCTTAGACCAGGGCGCAGAATGTCTCCTCTCTGTCTTGTCCTCTTAACAGCAGTGGACTGTTTCTTCTCAGTGTGAAATGCTCACATTAGGTGTCAAAGGGAGATTTGCCAGGAATGGTACCAGGAATGAGGGACTTCAGTTATCCGGAGAGGCGAGAGAAGTTAGGATTCTTCTCCCGGGAACAGTGAAGGTTAAGGGGGAGATTCAAAAGGGAAAGGAGGGGGTTCGAGAGGGTGAACAGGGAGAGAAACTATTTCCACGGTCGGGCGGGCGGGCGGGCGGGTAACCCGAGGACACAGCTTTAAAATAGTTGCCAAAAGAACCGGAGAGGAAGGGAGGAGAAATTCTTTCACGCAGCGAGTTGTTGGGACCTGGAACACACTGCCCGAAAGGCCGGTGGGTGGAGAGAGAGAGAGAGAGAGAGAGAGAGGGGGGCGCGGGGGAGTGGGATTAATTTGGATAGCTCTTTCAAAGAGCTGGCCCAGAACAGACACGGTGGGTTGAATGGCCTCCTTCGGCGCTGTACAATCTTACGGTTCTATGGTAATCACTATTTCCTTTCTCCCGAGCTTGCCCCAGGGACCTGTTCACTGAGCTGGGAAAATCGCGGTGCACCAAAGTCATCAAAACTCTCAAGGAGATTCACGCTTCCTTCCTCCCTCACGAATCCCAGGTCAGTAAGTGGCACACAGTGTCTCGCTCGCTCGCTCCCTCGCTGCTGGCGCAGTCGGCTGCCGCGTTTCGCCCACAAACATACGATCGATTCGCTCTACCATCTATTCTGTGAAGCGCTTTGAGACGGCGGGAAGACGTGAAAAGCGCCATATCAAACGCGAGGATTATTATTATTATTTATTATTATTATTATTATCGTCTCTTCCAAAGGTTTACTCGCTGGACGCTGCACAGTCATTCCATTCCTTCTTCAAGCTCAAAGCCATCGACAACAACAGCATGATGGAAGATCTTGCTGAACAGATAGCGACACTGTGTGAAACACTGAAAGAATATCCAGCCGTTAGATTCAGGAAGTGAGTTATCTTCCTCTCCCAACCCCCTCTCCCTTAAAAATCCCCGTCCTCGGCCCCCCCACCACCCAAAACATCGCTCCTCCCTACCTCTGTGACCTGCCCGCCCCACCATTGACAGGCAGGCCGTCAGCCTCTCTGCCCCCACCCTCTGGAACTCCATCTCCATAATTCCTCCACCTGGCCTCCCCCTCCCTCGCCTCCTTCAAGGCCCGCCTAAAGAACCTCCTTTTCGACCGCGCCTTCGGTCACCCTCCTACCCCCACCCTCCCTGCCCTCCCCCTCTTCCTGATCCCAACCCCCAGCTCGGATCCAAATCCCTGACTGCCCAGCGCCTTGGGACGTCCTCCTGACACGAAAGATGCTGTGTAAATGTAATTCCAAGATGGAGTTCCAAAGGATGGGGGCAGAATGGCTGAAGGCCCGATCAGCGATGGTGGGGGGGGAACGGGGCTGGTGGGGGGTGGGGGCCGGGTCAGGCCAAGCCGGGGGTAGCTAATACTTTAACTGCTCGTTATTGACTACTGAAGCCTCACTTCCCTCTAATTGTCTTTCCCAGGGGCCCGGAAATCAACTCCGTACTCGCCAATCTGGTCCACGATAAACTGAACGCGTACAAAGCAGATAATCCCAACATGGGAGAGGTGAGGACACTTACACAGGTTGCTTCTGCAAACCGCAGAAGAATTCATTCGAATATACATTAGAGTACACAGCGCAGAAACAGGCCATTCGGTCCCAACTGCACTTCCTCAACTAAGCCTTCAAGCATCACCTTCTTTTCCTTTCTCCCTCATGTACTTATCTAACTTCCCCGTAAATACATCTGTGCTATTTGCCTCCACAACTGCATGCGTTAGCTTGTTCCACCTTCCCACTACTCTCTGTGTGAGGAAGTTTCTTCTAACTTCCCTATAGTATCCATCTGTGACTTGTTTTATATCGATGGCCCCTGGTTTTGGTCTCGACCACAAGTGGAAACATCTTCCCTATGTCGGTCCTATCAAAACCTTTCGTCATTTTAATGACGTCTATCAGGTCACCCCTCACCCTCAACAACAACAACAACAAGATTCCATTTATAGAGCGCCTTTCACGTCGGGAGGACGTCCCAAGGCGCTGGACAGTTGGGTCCTCTTTTCAAGAGAGTCTATTCTGTATCTGTAATACATCAGAAATGAGGGGGTGGGGGCGGTGGGGGCAGTGCTGCTGTGTGGGAACTGTTTTAAAATGTCAGTATTCTCTCTCACTTGTTTCGAGTGTTGATCACTATCTTTGTTTTTTTTCCCTCTCTCTCTCTCTCTCTCTCTCTCTCTCTCTTCCTTCTCCCTTTTCCTTCTATCCCGTCTTCCTTCTGCACTCCCAGTTTTCCTGTTCTGTTCTTCAGACGTGAGGCCCATCAATCACCCTGTTGCAGGCAAGGGTTGCGAATCGACATTCTTACTCTTTTATTTCTGTTTGTTTCGTGAGAGGATTGTATTGTATTTCTGGGTGGGGGTTAGGTGCACACTTCCCGGTTCCTGCTCCTGGCTTCCTGTCACCTTTTTGGCCGCATTCTCCCACAGTGGCTTTTCTCAACCTCCGAAGCAATAACTTAAAGCAAACGGCCTCAAAGCTGGTGTCCCGGTAGAGCCCTCGCCTCGCCGAGAGCGGACGCCGCTTTGCCCACAAAACACACAGTCAATTCGCTTTGCGGTGTATCCCGCGAAGTGCTTTGAGACGTCTCGAAGGCGCGATGAGGCGCCGGGTTGTAGGATTTATTATTTCTCTGTCACGCAGGGACCTGACAAAGCTCGCTCACAGCTGCTGATAGTGGACCGAGGCTATGACCCGGTGTCGCCCATCCTACATGAGCTCACTCTGCAGGCCATGGCTTACGACCTGCTCCCGATCAACCAGGATATTTACTCGTAAGTTCGTCTGTCTTTATTTGCACGTAAGTTTCCCCCGGCCCAGCTCCACTGGCTCCCCATCCCACCCACCAGAGGATCGAGTTCCGAATCCTTGTCCTCGCCCTTCAAAGCCTTGCCCCCCCCCCCCCCCACCTCTGTGACCTGCTAACTCTCTATACTGACCTGTACCCTCCCTCCGATCACCAGGCTCCGGTCTCTTCCACATTCCCCCCCGCCCGGCCCGTCCCATCATTGGCGGTCGGACCTTCAGCCTCTCTGCCCCCACCCTTTGGAACTCCATCCCACATTCCCCCCGCCTCGCTCGCCCCCCCCTCCCTCACCTCCTTCAAGGCTCGTCTCAAGACCCTCCACTTCGACCAACCGTGCCTTCGGTCACCCTCCTACCCACCCCCCCACCCACCACCCGCCACCCTCACTGCCCTCTACCCCCCTCCCGATCCTAACCCCCAGCTCTGGTCCAAATCCCTGACTCCCTGTGTCCTCCACACGTGAAAGGCTCCATGTAAATGTAATGTGTTGTTGTGCCCTTGATAAACTTGTCGATGTGTTTGATGAGTGTGTGTGAGTGAGAGTGTGAGCGAGTGAGTGTGAGTGTGAGTGAGTGAGTGCGTGGTTGAGTCAGTGGGTGTGTGAGAATGTGAGCGAGTGAGTGTGTGAGAGTGTGAGCGAGTGAGAGTGTGAAAGTGTGAGCGAGTGAGTGTGTGAGGGTGTGAGCGAGTGCGTGCATGAGTGAGTGAGTTTGTCTGTTCACGTTTCCACTTGTACCCTCTCAGGTACGATACGACGGGGGTGGGAGACTCGCGAGTGAAGGAGGCCCTTCTGGACGAAGACGATGATCTCTGGGTGAAACTCCGTCACCTCCACATCGCTGACGTGTCCAAGTACGTGTGTGACTCGACCGCTCCCGTCCCCCTTTAATTCGGTCTCTCAACCCGCGCCCACAAAATACGCAGTCACTGCACTTGACAGCGTGTCCCGTGAAGCGCTACGAGACCTCACCACGAAGCGATAAAGGGTCGGGTCAAATCCTAAGGATATTATTTAATGTGTAATAATCAACATTTTGATATTTAATACCTCTCCTCCAGAAAAGTAACGGAGTTACTGAAGACATTCTGTGAAAGCAAAAGGCTGACGACTGATAAGGTGAGCGGCTCAAACCNTTTTTTTTCGTGGATTATAGGAGCAGGAGGAGGCCATTCAGCCCCTCGAGCCCTGTTCTATAAGATCTCTCCTGAGCTGCACCTCGAGTACCATGACCCGCCCTTGGCTGAAGGCTGAACGGTGGGGCGTGATCAGCCGCGACCTAACCGAACGGTGGAACAAGCTCGAGGGGCTGAATGGCCTCCTCACCGTGTTCCTATGCGTTCGGACCCCCTCCAATGTATAGCGCTCTTTATTTATTGATTTATTCAGTTATCTTTTGGTCAGCCGGGTGTCTGGGTCTGACACGCACGGAAACCCATCACCGTGGCTTAAGAGTCTCCAAACCCAACTGAGAATTCCAGGCCTCCCAACCCACCTCCACACGGAAACCCCAGAGATAGGTGGTTGGAATGGAACGCTCTCTCTCTCTCTCTCTCTCTCTCCCTCTCTCTCCTTGGAGGGACGCCCCCTGCTTACCTAATTCCGGAGAGTATCAGGCGCAGGTTGGCGAGAGCCAAGGCTTTTGGGGGGGGCGGGGGCGGAGGGAAGCCCAGAGTGTGCGTTGAGGGTAACTGCTGGGAGTCAGAGTGGCGAGTCCGACACTTCAATAAATACATCATTAATTGCAGCCGCGATATTTATCCTCGTTGATCGAATGACGCCACGATCTTCTTTCGTTTCAGGCTAATCTGCGGGATTTGTCTCACATACTAAAGAAAATGCCTCAGTATCAAAAGGAGCTGAGCAAAGTGAGTAAAAACCCTCCATAAACCTTCTGGGGGACATTTTATTTTATTTTAATGCGCCAGCATTGGATTTTTTTAATTAAAAAGTTGGTGTGAAGATTAATAATAATAATTCTCGCTGTATCTAGTATTAATTATATATAATGAACTTTTCCGGGGGCAATAATTCCTTTCTTAAAAAAAATAATAGTAATAATAATAGTTAAACAGTCCACGACTTTCGCCCACAAAATATACAGTCGCTACACGTTGCAGTATATCCCGTGAAGCGCTTTTGGGACGTCTCGAAGACGTGACATAATCTAATCTTCCGATGACCGGAGTGGTTCTAGTGACCGTCGTTTGTTTTCTTCCCTCTAGTACTCCACATACTTGCACTTGGTAGAAGATTGCATGAAGTTCTTCAAGGGCTCGGTCGAAAAGATGTGTAAAGTTGAACAGGTGCAGAGAGAGAGAGACGAGAGAGAGAGAAATGGTTTGGTCTGTGTGTGTGTGTGTGTGTGTGTGTGTGTGTGCGTGTGTGTGTATTGTCGGAGACGCCGTTCTTCGGATCAGACGTTAAACCTCACTCACTCCCCGTCTGTGCCCTGTTCAGGCGGACGTTAAAGATCTCCCTCGACGCTGTAGGAAAAGAGAAGGGAGTTTTTATCTCTCTCGCGCTCTCTCTCTCTCTCTCTCTCTCTCTCCCGACAATCCCCTGAATAAAATTGGTCCCTCACTTCGCGGCTGTTTGTGGAACGCTGCCGGGTGCAAGATACACAGTCACTACACTTTACAGCGTATCCCGTGAAGAGCTTTGAGACGTCTCGACAGCGTGACAAATGCAAGGGTTATTATTGTTCTAAGCCTTCCCTGTGATCCCTGAACAGGACCTTGCGATGGGGACGGACGCAGAGGGGGAGAAGGTCAAAGATCCCATGAAGATCATTGTGCCAATACTGTTGGACAGCACCGTCAAGTCCCTCGACAAGATCAGGATTATCCTCCTCTACATCTTACACAAGAACGGTGCGCGTCTGTCTGTCTGTCTGTCTGTGTGTGTGTGCAGATCTGTCTGTGTATCTGTCGGTCTGTCTGTCTCAGTCTGTCTGTCTGTGTGTGTGTGTGGGTGTGTGTGCATATCTGTCTGTGTATCTGTCTGTGTGTGTGTGTGTGTGTGTGCAGATCTGTGTGTATCTGTCTGTGTATCTGTCTGTGTATCTGTCTGTCTGTCTGTCTCGGTCTGTCTATCTTTGCCTCCTTCCCTCCCTCAGGAAACTGTCCCATACGTTTCCGCTCACTTCACGCGGGGTGGCGTCTTGGAGCGCTTCACAGCCTGATGCCGAGCCGGGGAGAGAGAAAGAGAGAGAGAGAGGGTAGCAATAGGCACGGTCGAAGAGGAAAGGTCTTCAGTCGTGATCCAAAAGAGGGGAAGGAGTTGGGGGGTTGGGTGGGGGTGGGGTGGGGTGGGGGAGGGCGAGGCGGAGGGATTGGGGGAGAGGATTCCAAAGCTTCCGGGGGTGCGGGGGGGGTTAGTGGCTGAAGGCGTGAAACCCTTACCTAATGCCAGAGGGCAGTATTACAACAACAACAACAACAACAACAAGTTGCGTCCCTCACACGGGGTAGTGCCCGAGAGCGCTATTAGTCGCCTGTTGGCGAGAGTCAATGCCCCCGACCGCCAGCGAGTTATAATGATGTTGTTCAGCCCGTTTCTATTATCGTGTTCACCTCTTACGCTCGAGCCTCTGCTTTGGTCCCAGGCATCTCCGAGGAGAACATCACCAAACTTATCCAGCACGCCAACATCCAAGAGGACAGCAATATCATCAAGAACGTGGAGTACCTGGGCGCCACCATCATTTCCGGGGCACGTATCTCTCCCGGGGTTCTTCTTCTAGCGTCTTCGTGTTGCGTCCTGAGAGCTTGAGTGGTTTAGACCCCTCGCCTCGCAAGCCAGAGGACCCGGGTTCGATTCCCGGGCGGGACAGGTCAGGTCAGGGCGAGATGTTGGACAAGTTTTCTTACTCCACACACACACACGGACACACACACACACCACACACGTACACACAATGTACACTCGCGCACGCCTCTCCGGCTGTATATAGGAACCCGGTTGTTAGTCAACTGGCGGATGGCTTTTCCGGGGCTAATAGTCCCTTCGAAAACAACAATAATAATAAATTGGTCACTTCAACCCACGGCTGTTTGTGGGGGACGTCGCCGGACGCGATCGGCTGCCGCGTTTCTCCCACAAAACGCACGCACAGTCACTGCGCTTCGCAGCGTGTCCCGTGAAGCGCTTTGAGACGTCTCGACGACGCGATGAGGCACGGATTATTATTTTGGTAATTTGGTAATTATTTTGGCCTTTTCACGTCCTCGAGACTTTCTCAAAGTACCGTGAAGCGCCGCGAATGTGTTCCGTGGGCGAAACTCGATGGTGGTGGGGGGGGGGGGGGGTGGGCGCGCATTTTGCTCGCAGCAGCGTCCCGCAAGCAGGCGGGGAGGGAACGGGCGATTTTACGCGCCTACGAGAAGGGCAGCCGCGCTCGACTTAAGTGCGAAGTGTCTACGGGAGAGGCTGCGAAAAGCGGCGGTCTCTTCCCGGCCTGTTCCGCGGGTCTGTAACCCTCCCGTTTGGCTCGATTTCCAGACGGGATCCGGTGGGAAGTCTAAACTCGAGAGGAAACAGCAAACCGGGTCGACCTACCAGCTCTCCAGATGGGTGCCGGTCATCAAAGATGTTATGGAGGTACAGTGGGGGTCGGGGGGGGGTGGGGGAGGGAGAGGGTGAGCCCCCATATAATCCAGTCCGCTCGGCCTGAGGATCACTGTCGGGAGTCTGTGTCGGTTGTGACTTCCTTTGGAACTCGCTTACGATCAAAGTGCCGCCGTAACTCTACCCGTCTGATCTTTTATCAGGAAGCCACGGAGGAGAAGCTGGACAAAAAACACTGGCCGTTTGTTTCGGACCCAGCTCCCACCGCACCCACCCAACCGGTCGTCAGGTACGTGACAGGCTGCCTGCACACACGCAAACACACAGACACACATGCACACGCACACAGACACACACACGCACGCGCACACGCTCCTCTGTTTACCCAGCAGTAAGTAGGAACCTGGTTGTTAGTCGATTGGCGGATCGCTTTCCTGGCGTAATGAAAATAATAATCAAAAGAATAATATGACTGTTTGTGGGGACGTCGCCGGGCGCAACTGGCTGCAAAACACACAGTCACTACACGTGACAGTGTATCCTGGGAAGCGCTTTGAGACGTCTCGAGGATGCGATAAGTCGCTGTGTCTTATTGTTGTTGTTGTTGTTGTCACTGTTCCTAGCAGCGTTCGCTTTCAGTGGCACAAGAACAAGACGGAGGCCGAGTACAGGACCGGCCCCCGGCTGATCATCTTCATCATCGGGGGCGTCTCCATGTCCGAGATGCGCTGTGCGTACGAGGTCACCAAACAGACGGACAACAAGTGGGAGGTGTTGATCGGTGAGTCTCGTAACCTGTCTGTCGGTGCCACTGACGTGGGAGGACGATGGCGATGGGGGTGGGGGGGGGGGTGGTCGGTTGGCGGGAGCTTAACTGTTTGTGGGGACGTCGCTGCGCGCAATTGGCCCACAAGACACACACAGTCACCACACTTGACGGTATATCCCGTGAAGCGCTTTGAGACGTTTCGACGACGTGATAAGCGCCGCCGCCGGGTCAAACATTAGGATTGTTATTACTATCGTCAGCGCTCTGAGGTGCTGCTCTACATAAATACGAGTTGTTTTATTCCAGCACAAACATTCTGTTCTCTCTCTCTCTCTCTCTCTCTCTCTCTGTCTCTCTCTCTCTCTTTCTCACTCGTTCCTCCCCTCTTCCCCCCATCTTTCCCTCCAGGGTCCACTCACATCCTGACCCCGGAAGTTTTCCTGGAAAATCTGAGGAGTCTGGACAAGCCCTCCGAGCCCCAGACATGAGCCGGTTTGTGACCTGCCGTCTTCAACACCTCCTGGAATCATCTGAGCGTAATTCCCCCCCCACCCCCTCTCTGCCCTGCCACCACCTACCCCCTCCTCTCCCCACCCCCACATCGCCCCCTCCCAACAGAGAGACCCTCTGGCAGCCTCTGGATGTTAAAATCTCACGGAATTTGAATTATTTATTGCCTTTAAATTGCAAATCGACAATTTATATACATATATATTTTATTATATTTTTGCTGTAAGCCAGAGTTACATTGAGTTCTCAAGTCGCTCGCTTTTTAGTGAGTTGTTCGTCCCTGGGGGAGGTGGGGGAGGGGGGAGGGGTGAGTTAGGGAGGGGGTAGTGTGGGGAGGAAAGGTTTCGCCTTAATCATAACTTGCCAAATTCCGTAGCAAAAATTTACTTGAACTGGAAACAGAGACGACAGATTCTCAAGAAGGAAAACATATCAGCTTATTTTTTTTTATAGCCAGCCAGCCAGTCAGCCAGCCAGCCAGCCAACTAGCCAGCCAGCCAGCCAGCCAGCCTACTAGCCAGTCAGCCAGCCAGCCAGCCAGCCAGCCTACTAGCCAGTCAGTCAGCCAGCCAGCCAGCCAGCCAACTAGCCAGCCAGCCAGCCTACTAGCCAGTCAGCCAGCCAGCCAGCCAACTAGCCAGCCAGCCAGCCTACTAGCCAGCCAGCCAGCCAACTAGCCAGTCAGCCAGCCAGCCAGCCAGCCAGCCAACTAGCCAGCCAGCCAGCCAGCCAGCCATCAGCCAGCCAGCCGGGTGTCTGTGTCTGTGTCTGTGTCTGTGTCTGTCACGCACGGAAACCCGTCACCGTTGCTTAAGAGTCTCCAAACCCAACCGAGAATTCCAGACCTCCCAACCCACCTCCACACGGAAACCCCAGAGATAGGTGGTTGGAATGGAACGCTCTCTCTCTCTCTCTCTCTCTCTCACTCCCCCCCCTGGAGGGACGCCCCCCTGCTTACCTAATTCCGGAGAGTATTAGGTGCAGGCTAGTGAGAGACGAGGTAGTGGTGGGGGAGCCCAGAGTGTGCGTTGGGAGTGGGTAACTGCTGGCGTTAAAAGCTTACCGATCGAGAGCGCCGTCTGGCCAAGCTTTCCCGCTGCTTGTCCAGCTATGACCACCCTCCCCGTTAGTTAGTTAGTTAGTTAGTTAGTTAGTTAGTTAGTCCGTCAGTCAGTCAGTCAGTCAGGGCTTTGGCTGTGGGGTTAACAGGAGCTGAGGGGGAGGATTCCCTGCCCCCAGTAACTGGTCGGCCATTCCAGGTCCTGCCGATGATCCGGGCTCAGGAACCGGACTGGAGACTCTTATTCCCACATCCCCTTCCCAGGCGGGTCACCCTGGGGGCCCGTTCGGCTCCGAGGAGACCCCCCCCCCCACCCACTCGGAGGGAGGAAGGAGTCGGCTATGAGCAGTGGCAGATATAGTGTGTGTGGCTACGAGCTCAGAAGGTGCTTTGTTTGCGTGCGCGAGTGTGTGTGTGCGTGTGTGTGTGAGCGAGTGTGAGCGAGTGTGTGTGTGAGCCTGTGTGTGTGAGCAAGCGTGGGAGCAAGTGCACGAGTGTGTGTGTGTGAGCGAGTGAGTGTGTGTGAGCGAGTGAGTGTGTGTGTGTGAGCGAGTGAGTGTGTGTATGAGCAAATGTGTGTGAGTGTGTGTGTGTGTGTGTGTGTGTGAGCCGGTGTGTGTGCACCTCCCCACCCCGTCCCCAGTTAGGAAGCCCGTCCCTCCAGCCTCTTACCTCCAGGCCCAAACCTTCTTGGTTAGAAGCCTCTCTGCCAATTGTTAACTCACACTCCACACACACACACACACACTCGTTCACTCACACTCGCTCAAACACACACTCGCTCAAACACACTCGCTCAAACACACACTCGCTCAAACACATTCGCTCAAATACACGCTCACACACACACACTCATTCACACACACACTCACACTCCACACACACACTCACACACACTCGCTCAAACACACACTCGCTCACACACTCGCTCAAACACACACTCGCTCAAACACACACTCGCTCACACACTCGCTCAAACACATTCGCTCAAATACACACTCGCTCACACACACTCATTCACACACCCACTCACACTCCACACTACTCACAATCCACCCACTCACACTCCACACACTCACACACGCACACTCCACACACTCACCTCACTGCCAAAGGGAGCTCCCACTCCCCCGAACGCTGGGATGACATTTTAGACACTTCGTGAACCGGGATCTGAGGGCTCCGGTCACTGACGGACGGACAGGGTTTTAATCCGTGATCTTTTGTTTTACTTCGGCCCCTCCTCGACTCCTTCCGCTCCGGCCCAGACTGGCAATCTGTGTGCGCGAGTGCGTGTTTGTGAGCGCGTGTTTGTGAGCGACTGTTGTCTGTCAGTGTGTGTGTGTGTGTGTGTCGGTGTGAGTGTTTGTAGGTGTGTGTTTGTGAGTGAGTGTGTCAGTGCGAGTGCGTCAGTGTGTGTGTGTTTGTCCGTGAGCGTGTTTGCGAGTGCGTGTGAGTGCGCGCGAGCGTGTGCGTGTGCGTGCGTGCGTGTGTGCACAATGTGGCCTTATTAACCAGAGCAACGTTGCTCGAGAGAGAGAGAGAGAGAGACGGCTTCACCAGCATCAAATGGCCGACAAGGAAACCTGTTTAAACACCTTCCGGTTTATTACACGCGGTTTGATTGTCTGCACCGATGATTTTGTTCTCTTAATTGATGACGTGCGGACCCGACACCACACCTCAGGGATAGTGACTGTCCTCTCACTGAGCTCTGGCTCTGCTCTTGTGTTTTTTTTTCTGGTTCAGTCTTATTTTCGTTCTGAATGTATTCGTGTGCGCGCGTGTTTGTCGCGCGCGTGTACGCGTTGCGTGTACGCGTCTTGTGTGCACGTCTGCGTTTGTGCGCGCGTGCGTGTGTGTGTTTACACGCTTGTGTGGGGGCGCGTGCGTTAACGTCATGGATCCGTGGAAACTTATCCGGGGTGTTCCTGCGGTCGCTTCGAAGCTGTCGGATATCTCGCGAAGAGATTCAGTCGACAACTAAGCCGGTCACACTCCTTTTCTGAGCAGTTCAGTGCCTGCGCGGCGCGGGTGCGTGCGCGCGTGTACGCGCGCCCGCGTGCGTTAACCGGTCGTGCGGACGTCTACGGTCACGCGTAGCATTGCGCGTATATCACTCATTTTGATTTAATCTCACGGGGTTTGATGTTTTGCTGCAAATGCCTGGTTTAGCCCCAGAGAGGCAAGAGTTGTCAATATTTATTCTTTACCCGAAGGTAACAGCTAAGTTTATCTGTGCATCGAATGATTAAAACGCCATTAGACGACACATCGTTGTGTGAACTCGTGTTACGCAGTCACTACGCTTGACAGCGAATCCCGCGAAGCGCTTTGAGACGTCTCGACGACGTGATAAGGCGCCGGGTCAAACGCAAGGATTATTATTATTATCTACATCAGCGGTCAAGCCTTCAGTCTCTCCGCCCCCCCCCCCACCACCCTCTGGAACTCCATCCCACGGTCCCTCCGCCTCACCCCCTCCTCGCCTCGGAATGCGCTCTCTCTCTCTCTCTGTCTCCCACTCCCCCTCTCCCTGGAGGGACGCGGTCGAAAATTCGACGCGGCCAGGCGAGAGCCGAGGCTTTGGGGGTTCGGGGTGCGGAGGGGGTCAAACGCACGACCCCCCCCCACCCCCCCCCTAACTTCAAGCCGGCAGAAACGACCTCACAAACGCTTGACTCGGCTGAAGTGTTGGGTCACAAAGCAAAGCAGAGGAAGCCATCGGACCCGGCGCTCGCACTCGGAAGCGGACCGACCGCGTAGAACATGCGGCTGTCCTGCGTGTTCATGGCTTGGCTCGCGTTTGCTTTCGACCCGTTTCCGTGCGCGAGTTACCCCGGTGAGTGTGGCTTCCGCGCTCCGCGACTCGGGGTGGTGGGGGGGGTGTGGGGGGTTAGAGCCCCTCGCCTGGCAAGCGAGAGAGAGAGGGAGAGAGAGACCCGGGTTCGATTCCCGGGCGGGTCGGGACAGGATAGGGCAGGTCAGGGCGCGAAACGTTGGGCAAGTTTCCTTACTCCACACACACACGTGCGCGCGCGCGCACACACACAGACTCACACGCGCGCACACACACAGACTCACACGCGCACACACACAGACTCACGCGCACACACACAGACTCACGCGCACACACACAGACTCACGCGCACACACACAGACTCACACACGCACAGACTCACACGCACGCACACACAGACTCGCGCACACACACAGACTCACGCGCGCACACACAGACTCACACGCACACACACAGACTCACGCGCACACACACACCCCCAGCATCCATCCCACATCCCCTTCGCCTCGCTCCCTCCCTCGCCTCCAAAGACCCTCCTTTTCGACCGCCCTCGCTGCCCTCCCTCGCCCCAACCCTACCCCCTGCCCCCCCAGTCCCCCACAGTCCCCCACCTGATCCCCGACTGTTCAGCGCCTCGGGCCGTCCGCCCGACGTGAGAGACCCTTTACAAATGTAACGTTGCCGCCGCTGCTGCTGTTGTAGCAGTAAAGTAGGAACCCGGACCTCACTGCCACCGCTATCGCCCACACAGTCACTACACTTCCACAGTATATCCCGTGAAGCGCTTTGAGGCGTCTCGAAGCCGTGATAAGGATTATTATTATTATTATTATATTATATATTATTGGTCTGTGAGACGGCTCCTTCGAGCGCGATCCTTTCTGGTCTCAAACTGACCCACTTGAGCCCGAACGCGTCTCAAGCTTCACAGGACGTGCCGCAAAGCGCAGTGACTGTGCGTTTTGTTGAACCGTCCTCACAAACAGGTCCTGGGTTGAAGCCACCAAATTATTATAATAATTTTCTTTTTAGGGGGGGGGAGGGAGAAGGGGTTATTAACCCTCGGGGAAAAGTGCTGGTGTGGTGTGCGCGTGCGCGTGTGTGCGCGCGTTTTATTAAAGGGGGAAAAAAAGACTTCAGATACATCCCGAAGGTCACGGAGGTAGAGTTGATGGGGATTGTTTCGTCTGTTTCCCGTGTGTTACAGGTTGTGGTTTGGTCTCCAGGCAGAACGCCAAAAACCTGGCCGGCGGAGAGTTCCCGTGGCACGTCTCCCTGCAGTTTAACTGGGAGTTTCTGTGTGGCGGAGCGATCCTGGACAGGTGGTGGATTATAACCACTGCCCATTGCATTATCATGTTGTAAGTTGCGGTCCGGAGCGGTCCGGAGGGGTCCGGAGCTCGACTTGAGGCGCGCGGTTACTCAATAGCAATGGCGATAATCCTCGCGCTGGACCCGGCGCCTCATCGCGTCTTCCGAGACGTCTCAAAGCGCTTCGCGGGATGCGCCGTAAGGTGTGGTGACCGTAGTGGTCTGTGGGCGAAACCCGGCAGCCGATTTGCACCCAGCGGTGTCTCCCCCCCCCCCCCCCCCCCCCCCACTCTCCCCGCCTACCACCCCGCAAACGCTCGTGAAGGACGGGTCGGTCAGGACACCAGGGGTGGGAGAGAGAGAGAGAAAGGGAGAAACTCCCTTCTCTTTTCGAGTAGCGCTGAGGGAGATCTTTAACGTCCACTCGAAGAGGGGCACAGCAACAACAACAACAAGATTCCATTTATGGAGCACCTTTCACGTCAGGAGGACGTCCCGAGGCGCTGACGTCCCGAGGAGCAGACCGGTGGTGGGGGGGTGTGGAGAGAGAGAGAGGTGCTGCGTAAACGCAAGCGGTCGTGTGTTTAAGGGGGGGTGGGGATGGAGAGGCGCCGTGTAAACGCAGGCGGTCGTGTGTTTAGGGGGGGTGGGGATGGAGAGGCGCCGCGTAAACGCAAGCGGTCGTGTGTTTAGGGGGGGTGGGGATGGAGAGGCGCCGTGTAAACGCAGGCGGCCGTGCGTTATCTCCCGCAGTTCCCACCTGTTCGGGGATGTGATCGTGGTCGCCGGTACTCTCAGGCTGGAGAAGTCTCAGCTCGTGTACGGGGTGGAGAGGATAATTCTGCACGAGGATTTCAAGCACGGCTCGTTCAGCCATTACATCCCAGAGAACGACATCGCGCTGGTGATGGTCACGTCCCCCATGATATTCACGGCCTACGTCTCGCCCGTTTGCTACCCCAACGCCCCCTACTTCCACATGAAACTGCTGGAGAACTGTTGGGCGACCGGTTGGCAAGTTATCCATCCAGGTGATGCTTTTATTCTCCTCTTGTTAGCAAAGCCTCCGCTGCGGCTCCCGAAGCCCGACCTGGTCCTGTCCGCACCCGAGCTGCTGACTGCAAGATAATCGCAATAATAATGATAAAAATAATATAAGAATAACCTCTTAATATCAACACAATAATCTAAAATGAATATATTATTGTGTTAATAATAATACATTAATATTATTGTGTTAATAATAATATATGAATAGAATGGTAACACTATAATAATGTAATATTATATGAATATATTATATTATCATATTATTATTAATATATAATATTGTTATAATACATGAATATGATATAATATGAACACAATAATAATATATTAATAATGTAATAATATAATAGTATATTAATATTAACACAATAATAATATAATATTCTAACAATGTAATGATGTAACAATACATCAACGATAATAATGTAATAATAATCCTTGCAATGGACACAGCGCCTTATCGCGTCTTCGAAACATCTCGAAGCGCTTCACAGAATACACTGTCAAGTGCAGTGACTGTATTTTGTGGGCGAAACACGGCGGCCGATCGCGCACAGCGTTGTCCCCACAAACAGTCGTTTGAGTGACCGTATTCTTTGTTTGAAACATTTTTAAAGGGATTATTACCCCTTTAAAGCGTCCGCCAATCGAGTAACCTACTTACTGCTGTAACTGAGGCTCGTGTGTGTGTGCGTGTGTGTGTGTATGTGTGTGTGTGTGTATATGCCGTGTATGTGTGTGTGTGTGTGTGGAGTAAGGAAACTTGTCTAAGCGCTTTGAGACGTCTCGAAGACATGATGAGGCGCTGTATCAAATGCATGGATTATTATTACAACTATTACTGTTGTTGTTGCTAAAGCTTTACCCTCTGCTCCTCTGGTTTGGGTGTTGGGGGGGGGGACATACAGAACAAATGGGGGGGGGTGGGTGGGGGCATAACCGTCAGATTAAAGCTCGATCAATTTAGGAGTGAAATCAATAGTTTTTCACCCAAAGCCTTGTGGAAATCTGGGACTCTCTCCCGCCCCCAAAAGGAGGTCAGGGGATCGAGGGATACGGGGCAAAGAGAGGATAATTGGACTTGGGGTACAGATCAGCTGTACCTCAAGCTTATAGAATGGCGGAACAGGCCCGAGGGGCTGAATGGCCTCCTCCTGCTCCGGTGTTCCCATGTCTCGCACGTTATCCAGGGAAGAAACGCAAGCGATCAAAGTACGCGCTGCTGAAGATGAGAGTGGACTACATGAGGTTGGCCTCGTGTGAGAAGTACTACCCCGTCTTCCTGAGGAAGAGGGACGTGATCTGCATGAGGAACCGGAGCAAGAGGAGGAGTATGTGCACGGTAACTCACTCCTTACTTACCCTCAGTCACTCCACCTCTCTCTCTCTCTCTCTCTCCCTCTCTCTCCCTCTCGCTCAGGAGTTGGAGCCCTCGCCTCGCAAGTCAGAGAGAGAGAGAGAGACCCGGGTTCGATTCCCGGGTGGGTCAGGTCCAGGTGCCCTAAACCCCCCCCCACACACACACACATACACACAGACAGACGAACACACAGACATACACAACCACAGCGACACACACACACACACGCGCGCGCACACGCACGCGCGCGCGCGCCTCTGTTTGCCTGTGAGTGGGAACCCGCTTGTTAGTCGATTGGCGGATCGCTTTTCCAGGGAGTAATAATTCCTCCAAATAATAATAATAATAATAATAATTTGGTCACTTCGATCCACGGCTGTTTGTGGGGACGTCGCTGGGCTCAATCGGCCGCCGCGTTACGCCCACAAAAGTACGCCGGTCACTGCACCGTCCAGTGTGGCCCGCGAAGCGCTTTGAGACGTCTCGACGACGCGATCAGGCGCCGGGTCAAATGCGAGGATTATTAACGTTAATCAATGTATCATTTGGTGTCAGTTAAGAGGAGGTCTTCTCTCAAGACCAAAGAGCCCTCGGGCGTGTCGGCGGAGATCTACGGGGTCACACACACTCGCTCCATCTACGAGAAAGCCATTGAGGTGCGTGCGTGTGTTTCACAGTCTGTGGGTGTGTCTGTGTCACTCACTGTGTGTGTGTGTGTGTGTGTGTGGGTGTGGGGGTGTGTGTGTGCGG